CCCCGCTCGGAAGAGGTGGAGCCACAGCTCCCAATGGGGGGCAATCCCCAGATACCCCTCGCAGACGGCGACAAAAATAGCCGCCTGCGTGATGGAGTTGGGGTTGAAGTTGTGTAGCTCCACCCCGTAGTAATGCGGGAGCGCCCACATGAATCGGTCCACCGGCACGCCGAGACCACGCTCGTGGAAAGAGACGAAGCTCACGACGTACCCCGTGGGTGGCCTCGGCTCCAGCTCGCCGAGCGAAGCGATCCATTCCGGCCTATCGGGGTCGGTGATCGGGCGGAGAAGGCCATCGTCGACGAGAGACTGCAGCATCTCCATGGACACATCGAATGGATCCCAAGGGTCCGCCTCGATGACAACAATGTCACCGGCCATGAGTGCGGTGGAAGGCTCGACTACAGCGGTGAGTCTCCCTCCCTCTCTCTCTCTCTCTCGCTCGCTCGCTCTCTCTCTCGCTCTTCTCCCTTCTTCTCCCCGGTGCTCTCTGTTCTTGGCAACGGACAGGCAACGGAGAGTAAGGAGGGAAGAGGCGAGCCCCGTTTCATATTTATGCAGGGTAAGGACGAAACGGACAGGCGACAAAATCAGGAAAGTTTTCCTCGAGTTCAGGCACGATTAATCCAGATCCGATTCTACCGCCCACGCGCCCACCTTTTCCTCATCAATCGCGGGAACAGTTACGTCCCATCCACTGACGCCACATCACGTCCGACCGATGCAGCAGCAGACGTCGTTCCGCCCCCTAGGAAATCGCCTAAAAAGGCACGCCGGCCGTTGTCGAATCAATGGGGGAAATATCCCCCCCACCCTATTCCTTTCAGGTGAAGGAACCGGGCGCCGAGCCCGTTATGGTCCAGGGGTTCGTAGGCTGGGCTGCTGAGGGTTTCGACAGTCGCCCCAGGACAGCAGAGTCAGGGACAACTATGGGCGAGCCCGTACATGGCCGAGACCTAAGCAAACGCAACGCTTGGGACGCCCTAAGTCGTGTCCGAGACCAGCAGAGAGTTCTTCGAATGGGATCCCATCGTAGGGAGGCGCCGAGCCCCCGGGGCCAATCGAACGGCCCCGGGACCCAATAGAGAAGCCCTCTGGTACCTTTGGAGTGCGTCTCTGGACCGCTAGCCGACCCTTATCGAATGGGGCACGGGCCTCCACTCGGACTTACCCGATAGCAGCTCACCGGAAGTGTCACCGCTCGCGCCCACTGAGGGTAGCCTGGCATATTCCACCCCTCCTTCTGAGCGAAAAGGATGCGCGAGGGTCGCATAAAAAGCCAGGGGAACTCCTGACCGCCCTCTCGCTTCGTGCGGAGGCTCGAGGGCTCTCCCTGCAAACCTTGCCGAGACCCAGCGACCTAGGCTCGCCCTCGAGGGGGTTTCGGCAAACAAACCCCTCCTTCCAAACGAAAAGGTTGCGCGTGGGTCGTACAAAAAGCCAGGGGAACTCCTGACGGCCCTTTTGCTCCGGGCAGAGGCTACGGAGCTCTTCCTGCAAATATGCCGAGGCCTCGCGACCCAGGCTCGCCCTCGAGGGGGTCTCAGCAAACAAAGTCCTCCTTCCGAATGAAAAGGTTGCGCGAGGGTCGTACAAAAAGCCAGGGGAACTCCTGACGGCTCTCTTGCTCCGAGCAGAGGCTACGGAGCTCTTCCTGCAAATATGCCGAGGCCTCGTGACCTAGGCTCGCCCTCGAGGGGGTCTCAGCAAACAAACCCTCATGCGCGAGAGGCGTATAAAAAGCCAGGAAAGCACCTGACGGCCCTCTCGCTCCATGCAGAGGCTAGGGGGCTCTTCCTGCAGGTTTGCCGAGACCCAGCGACCCAGGTTCGCACACGAATGGGCTCGGCAAACAACCCCCTGACCGCCCTCATAGATTCGGAAACAAAAGCAACAAAAAGGGCGCCGAGCCCGTTACGGTCCAGGGGTTCGAAGGCTAGACCACCGAGGGTTTTGACAGCTGCCCCAGGACAACAGAGTCAGGGACAACTATGGGCGAGCCCGTACATGGTCATGGCCCGAGCAAGCGATCGCTCGGGATGCCCTAAGTCGTGTCCAAGACCAGCGGGGAGTTCTCCGAATGGGATCCCACCGTAGGGAGGCGCCGAGCCCCCGGGGCCAATCGAACGGCCCTAGGACCCAATAGAGAAGCCCTCTGGTACATTTGGAGTGCGTCTTTGGACCGCTAGCCGACCCTTATCGAATGGGGCATGGGCCTCCACTCGGACTTACCCGATAGCAGCTCACCGAAAGTGTCACCGCTCGTACCCACCAAGGGTAGCCTGGCATATTCCACCCCTCCTTCCGAACGAAAAGGAAGCGCGAGGGTCGTATAAAAAAGCCAGAGGGAACCCCTGATGGACCTCCCCGTAGAGGCTAAGGGGCTCTCCCTGCAACTTTGCCGAGACCAGCGACCCAGGTTCGCACTCGAGGGGGCTCGGCAAACAAACCCCTCCTTCCGAACGAAAAGGTTGCGCGAGGGTCGTACAAAAAGCCAGGGGAACTCCTGACGGCCCTCTTACTCTGGGCAGAGGCTAGGGAGCTCTTCCTGCAGATATCTTTGAGGCCCCATGACCTGTGCTCGCACCGAGGGGGTCACTGACAAACAAACCCTCACGCGCGAGGCGAAAAAGCTGGAGAGCACCTGACGGCACTCTCGCTCTGTGCACAGGCTAGGGGGCTCTTCCTGTAAAGTTTGCTGAGACCCAGCGACCCGAACTCGCATTCACGGGCCCAGCAAGCACGATGAGACCCCTTGCTCAACGGAGAAAAAAGCCCCTGGAGGAGTAAACCCACTCCTCCAGGGCCTCGGGGGCTACACCCAGCGGGTGTGCTCGCGCGCACCCACCAGAACCACCAAGTACAAAACACGATCCCGACAGGAGCTGTTGCGAACCAAGTCTCGTCAAAAACCTCAGGAAAGTGCCCGCACTCCTCCCGAGGCTCGGGGCTACTATCGGATACCACAAGAAGGGGTACCCTAAGCAAGATCCAAGAATATTGCTTAAGCCTTACTAAAACCAAAGCCAAAAGACTACTGCAAGGTCTCGGCAGAATTCTCCGATTCACCCGAGGCCTTGCGCCGAGGCCTCATGCGAAACAGGCCTAAAACGTCCCGCCGAGGCCCTCTCGTCGAGACCCTCTCGCCAAGGCCTCGCCCCGAAAGGCCTTGGACGGATCTCCAATTCTCCGATTCGCTCGAGGCCGGGCTCGGCGAACGTACTCGTAACCTCCGTCCCGACCGAACTCCTCTCGCAAAACGTCACGTCCGGATTAAATGCACCCAACTACTCCCGTCGAACGCTACCAGACGAGAGCAGTGCAGCAGCAGAACAACTGACAGGACAGGGACCGGGCACAGCAGGGGTTACCTGCCACTATACTCACCACTGTGCTCCCTCCTGACACTTATACTGCCCTGTGCTACCTAACCCCTGCGCCAAGGACAAAGCGGCATGGAAGGTCGAGTCCATGTCCCTGTAGCCTCGGAAACAGCAGGAGAGCCCAGCTGCTCGGTCTCTGCCTCGTCCGAGACCCCCCGGCAAGGCCTCGAACGCGCCATTCCTTCTCCGCCTCGGCCGAGGCCGGGCTCATCCCGCATTCTCGTCGCCTCCGCCTCAATTGCCCCTCTGGCGGGCCGTCCCATCCGTGTAAGTACCCCTAGTTACGCCTACATCAGCCACGATTGACAGGGTATGGCAAAAGGGGCGATGGGACGGCGGTCAAATCACCTTTTTACCATCCCCTACTGACGGTGCAGAGACTACAGCTCCCTGCGGACGCCCATTCCATACTTTTTCACCGGAATCGGGTACGACACAGACCACCGAGACCCCCACGTCGTACACAGATCACCTCTGAGGCCTCGGCAAAGAAGGCCTCAGCACGATCTGCTCCAGCACCCGCTAGACCTCGGCACTCCACCAGGACAAGAGTCCACCAGGCACGGCATGTCACCTACAGTGGAGGCCATACTGACTAGATGTCAACAAGGACTCTTACGACTTCAACAGACTCGGGCATGGCCTGCGTAACGCACCGATGATCAAGTACCAATTGTCATTCCCGACACTGTGCTGCTACAGGAATAGGCCACAGTACTGGATCTTCCTTTCTCGCTAAGGCTCCACGTGTAGCTCTCTCATATACTCCTGGCTCCCTCCTTGTGGCTATAAAAGGAAGCAGCCAGGGCCGTTTCTAGGGATCGAAACCACGCCAGCCCTCACGCAAAAACGCACTCACTCAATTCACGCGCGCTCCCACGCTGCCTGAGAGCAACGACTCAAGCAGCCCGCACCATTCCACTCCGAGACCTAGAACTAGCTCCCTCTCTCACTCAGCTTGTAACCCCCTACTACGAGCACTTCGGTGCAGAGAATACAAGATCGATCTCCTAGATTGGACGTAGGACGCCGATTGCCTGAACCAGTATAAACCTTGTGTCTATTTGCATCACCATCCGGGATTAGGGGCACGCAGTTCACATTTACTGGTTAGTTGAGGACCCCGGTCCAAAACGCCGACACAATGATTTAGAGCTCCCACTTCTGTAGCAAAGTCAAATTATAAGAGAACGACACAGGTACAACAACGTACACATCTGAAAACATCATGAGGTGTATTTTTGTACACAACATATATTAATGAAACAATAACTATAACTAAAACAGTACTGCACAATGCAAATGGACCATTCAGGCAACAAGTTAGCTCCATCCAATGAGTTCCCTTCAAAGTTAGGCATTAGACCCAAGATCTTTTGAAATTACCAAGAACAAATCAATTTGCAAGTGTACAAAGCTAAGAACCACCATTTTGAAGTAAGATTATGAAACTGAGCACTAATTCATCGGACAGAGCTTCTTTGAGCTATCAGGTAAATTTCAAAGGCTGATACGATAGCCAGGTAGCGAGTCTGCACTTGCCATGCCTGATCACATGAACCCCCTCGATGGCCGCTTCGATCTCCCTCGCATCCACCCCGTCCGGATCATACTCCGTCAACCCTTCCACACCCACAGACAAATCAATTCGATTAACACCCAGAACCTGGCAAAAAAAAAATCACCACAATTCGATTGGTAGGAGTAGTCAAACCAGGCAGACCTGCGGAGTTGCTGTAGATGGCGAGCGCACTGGTTGAACGCTGCAGCGAGCGGCGGCCAGAGCGCGGGCGCGTAGGGGGCCGTTAGCGTGTTGTCCTTGTCGAAAACGACGCCGCGGAACCCGGCGCGGCGGAGCTCAGCCCAGTCGAGCCACCTGATGTCTTGCACCGACACGTGCGGCAGCGCCAGGGGCGGCTTGGACGCCGCGACGACCGCCACGGCGGCCACGCCGGCTGGGTTGAACCGCTGCCCCGGGGCGCGCCGCCACCACGCCGCCGCGCCCATGGTGGCCGCTCTGTCCGCTGAGGCGGCGGCGGTTGTTGTTGTCGTCGACTCGGTGTTAGGGTTTGCAGCTCTAGGTCTAGGGGGCGGAAGCGGGGAGGCGCGGGCAGCGGATGGGCGTAGTGGCAACGACGGCGACCGTAGCATCAGAACAGGGTCCTGGATTGTGGCCGGCCGCCGATAGGTGTGGAATAAAGAGCAAAATTCCCTGAATTTGGCGGGTGGTATCATTTTGATTTCAACTTTTAAAGTGATATACGTGGGTCCCTAAATTTAACAGACAGTGTCATATAGGTCTCTAAACTTTTAAAATAATCACAACAGGTCTCTAAACTTAGCTGATGGTGTCATCACGGTCCATAAACTTTCACGGTGATCACCACAGGTGATAAATGATGTCATACATGTCCAAAGGTAATAATATTAAAAGTTATCTATAGAATTAAAAATTTTCTCCATTAAAAGTTACTTCTAATTTTAGTATTCTAAAAATTTTAATAGTAGTATTATAGAAGTAACTTTTCAATTTAAAGGATCAAGAGCAGTTAAAGTGCTGTGTCACTGGTCACCTTACCCTGCTTTGTCTTTCTAATGCTTCAGAATCCATATGTGCGGCTAAGTGCTTGTTGCTTGCATGTTGTATTATTCATCCAGTTTTGACAGTGACATTTGTTTTTGCTTGGTTACTGTGCTGGAGGGTGATGCTCATTTGCTGACGATAATCCATTTGCTACTTGCAGCACATTTCATTTACTTGATCACTCTCTGCTTGGTTACTACTGATCTGAATGTTATATATTCAGTACTACTTGATCACTCTCTATGTTTCAAATGATTTTTTGTTTTTATTCTTTTCATTCTAGTTCCTTCTAACGACATCTAAAACATGGGTAAACGGAAGTTTTAATCCAAAATAGTTGGGGCAAAATCACCATTGAACTCTAACATAGGGGTATAATCACCAAATTCTCTTTATGTATCAAGAAGAATTGAGTTCACTGGTAGGGATACGAAGGCTTCCTTGAATGGCCTTGCCCTAAATTAATTGCGAACGAAGTCACGAGATAGGAGCGGAAAAAAATAAAAGAGAAAGGCAACAACAGTTTTAAGGAACTGTCCAACATAGTTGTAGGTAGTTTGTGCCCAAAGATGAAGCGACGCACACAAAGAGAAAAAAATAGATTTAAACAAATGAGAATTATTAGCAAAGTTGTTTTTAAATAAAAATTTTAATGTTACAATAAGAAAAGAAAAAAACTAGCTGTATGAGGCCAGTAACACGAAGAAGTGGCATTTTTTTGCGTCAAGGCATTGTAGCGTCGTTATTGCAACATCATGCTTGTTGAGTTCCAGAAAAAAAATTAAATAATAGTATTTTAATTATTAATTGTAAATATAGCATTTGGATGAAGATGATGGTAAGTGTAATAGTATGTCGGTCTATGGATTGCCGATAGACCACCTATCGGCAACTGGAGAGCCGAGAGGAACCAATCGGCCTACCAGGAGCCTAGTCCGTGCACAGACGCGCGTTGGGTGAGCCCGCCCATGCCGGGACCTGTGGCGACGCTGGGCTACTCCTTCCGCGGATTGTCGGCCATCGGAAGGCCGACAGGTCCCTGCCCCCGTCAGCTGGCGAGCAGGACTTGGACCTACAGGCTTATCGGCCTATGGCTGCCCGACAGTATTGTGTGGGCTGTAGCTAATTATTCAAGGTTCCAATAGGAATTGAGCTACATCAAACGCGCCCCCCAGCGTACTTTGAAGTCACGGTAGCTCTTAATTGAGAGTTAACCTAGCTCTCAAGTTCACAGTAGTAGTAACTTTTGAAGTCAGACTCTCTGAGTTGCGAGCCACAGCGTACGTGTTTGGCGCTTAATTCAACATTTTCACATGACAAACGGTCTGGCATGCGAGTATTATGCTACTGTCAATTTCAATGAGCGATCATTGCTGCTACGCCTACGCGAAGAAGACGAGTACGGAAGAGCGCTAAAGCAGGGCAGCTGCCGATGGGGTTGAGGAACACCACGGCGACCATCGTCGAGAGCCTGAGGACTGTGGAAGGGCAGCTGGTGCGCGTGGAGGTCCTCGTCCTCCTCAGCAACCTCCTCCTGGTCCTCCTCGTCGTGCTGAGCCCCTACCGTCACCGGCGCGGCGACAAGTCCTTCCGCTTCCTCATCTGGGCGGTCTACACGCTCTCCACCGTCCACGTCCCCTACACCATCGGTCTGCTGGAGGCCGGCCCGTTCCACGACCAGACCTTCGTCCTGTGGGGCGCCGGCCTCCTGGTGCAGGCGGGCGCCGACTCCCTCTCCGCCTACAACCTGCGCGACGTCGAGCAGTGGAAGCGGACGCTGCTGCAGCAGGGGCTGCAGATCGTGCTGCTGCTGTGGCTGATGGTCCGCTGCGAGGGCCGCAACAGGTGCTACAGCGCCACCATCTGGATCTTCTGGATCCTCAGCATCGCTAAGGCCAACGCCAAGTTCCAGGCGCTGAGGGAGGCGAGCAGGACGGACGGCCTCATGAAGCACACCAAGGTGGTCGCCGACTACATGATGACCGAGCACGAGTCCGGCCATGTCTCCGACGCCGCCACCATGGAAGGATACAGGTACATTTTCCACGGGGAAGACCTCACGCTGCCGTACTTCTCCAAGCCGGACTACAGGACGGCCATCGCCGCATGCGCGTTCACCACGGTCGACACCGTCTGGCAGTGGATCGACAGCCAGAGCGTGTCTGTCTTCAGCAGGGAGCACGGCGGCATCCTCAAGGACATCGCTCTGTCCTTCACTCTGTTCAAGCTGCTCAAGCGGAGGTTCGCCAAGTACGAGCACGGGGAGGCCGGTCGTCCCAAGAAGCGGCGGCTCGTCGTGTCTGGGCTCCTCCGGGAAGAGGCTGACTACAGCCGCGCCTTCCGGGTGATCGAGATGGAGCTTGCCTTCCTGTACGACTTCTTCTACACGAGGCACCAGTCGCACACCCAGTACGTCGGAATGACGGTGGTGTTTGTGTTCCCCGTGATTGTTTGGAACGCCATCTCTGGAGCTTTCAGCAGACACTACCACCGTACCAGCTTGGAGCAGACCGTCGATGGGATAGATGTCATCCACTGCATTACCATCGTGTTGATGGTGATTGTCGTCGTCGTGCTGGTCGTGGAATCGCGCGTCAACGACCAAAAGTGGAGGGTGGTCGACGATCTGCACACCTTGACCGGCGCGAGCAAAATCACCTGGAAGGGAGAAGCCGTTCCGTTAACTGATCAAGAAAAGGAAGCATCGGAAGCTGACGGCCCGGAACTGGGACAGGAAGCTGGGCCAGTACTCGCTGTTACGCAACTTCGACTACCACCCGAGAAATGTAGCCTCGATTCTGACACTCGGCTTGATCGAGCCAACCTGGGACGGGCAGAAGGCTTCGAAGAAGGTCGAGTTGCCCGAGGAAGTCGTGATGCGCGTCCTGTCGCGGTTCAAGGCGAACGACGGCCACCTAACAGATGGGCGCGCGGCGCTCGCCGTCGCCGGGAACGACGCGAGCCGGCTCACGTGGGCGTGCGAGTTGCCCGCGCATGTCCACACGGTCCTGGTGTGGCACATCGGGACGACCATCTGCGAGATGACGACGCCGCAGCAGCTGCCGCTCACCGGCGACCGCCTCGTGGCCAAGTGCCTGTCGGAGTACTGCGCCTACCTGGTGGCGTTCGTTCCGGACATGCTGCCGGGGCACGACTACGACACGACGCGTATCTTCAACGCTGTGGTCATGGAAGCTCGGGACTACCTCGCCGGGTGTGACACCATGAGAGCCAGGTGTGTCAAGCTTCTAGAGCTGCGGTGCAATGAGCTGACAATATTGGGGATGGGAGCAAATATTGGGAGTGAGCTCAGGTACAGAGTTCACGACAGGGCGCGGCGGTGGAAGGTGCTTGCAGACTTCTGGGCGGAGCTTGTCCTCTTCCTCGCGCCGTCAAGCAACGCCGACATCCACGCAGAGAAGCTCGCGGCCGGCGGGGAGTTCATGACCCATTTGTGGACCCTGCTCATCCACGCCGGCATCATGGAGCGCCCCTCTTCTTCCTCTCCCTAGAGGCCTAGAACCAACTTCGCTGGAGGGTACAATACTGATACAACAGCCGATGATTCTGTCCTCTGAGCAACCAAATCTGTTTGCATCTTCGTCTTAATCTTTACGCATTCATGGCTGCTGCTTCTAGGCTAATTTATTGTTCATGTTTATTGGTCCAAATCCTTATTAAATTTGCGTACAACATTACTACTATGTCGCTGAATGTCAAGCGGAGCTATTGGAGCGGGGCGACAAAAGAGGTCACGAAAACTTGCACATTCTTGCGTATTTCGCCACAAGGGGCCACTGGCCACAGTTCCCAAATAACTCTGAAATCACTACTCAAAATCCAATAGCTCTGAACCAGAAGAAACTACAGAGTCGTGCTGAAAGAAAGTAGAGAAGTTGAAGATTGCGGACTAAGGCACCTGAGCAAGGAAAGAATGAGTTGGTTTTATATTACTGTAATCATCTCACAGACTTGTATAAATGAACAGTAAATAGAAACCAGCCTGTTCACCTACTGCGGACATTCACAATTCAGTTTGTTATATATTTACAAAGTTGGTAAATTAACCTAGCAAGACTCATCAGAAAAACAGGTTCACCATTTTTTCACATTGAATATTCCTTTTACATAAACCCGTTCACCATATGCAGATCTCATTTGCATCACCGCCCTATGGAAAGTGACTTCATAAATTAATAGCTGAGGATCAAAACTGATCTAGTCTCGAGTTTTCAAAGCATATCGCAACTCCTGCATTAAAGACAAGAGCACAGTGTATCAGAAGGGCAACAATGAGCAAGCATAATCACAGTAAATTTATTTCAAGACTGGGTTTTACCAGATCACCGTTGCTAGAGGCAAATGAAGGATGAAGGTCCGAAAGAAGTTTATCTTCCCTCAGTCTTTCCAAGCCATCAAATTC